CTCTTTCCGTGAGGAGTATCAAGTGTGTGCTTCTGTAGTTGATATCTGCAGGATCAGATATGGGCAGTGTCAGCCCTCTTTAGTGTAACAAACAGTTCCATCTGAACATGAACGCTTTTTTACTGTGAGGGTGATGGAGCACTGGAGCAGGTTGCCTACAGAGGTTGTGGAGTCTCCACACTTGGAGTTACTTAGAAGCGATCTGGACGTAGTCCCAGTCAGTTGGCCGTAGATGTCCCTGCTTGAGGAAGGGGCTTGGACCAAATGACCTCCAGAGGTCCCTTCCAACATCAGCCATTCTAGAGTTTTGCATTAATAATTATTATTCTTTTACAACAGATTTATAAAAAGCATAAATCTGGTGCTCCTTTTTACCATTCATAGTGAATTAACAGCAAGACAGCCAATAATATCTACAGGTGACAAATTTTAACATTGGTAAGAGTACATAACAGATTAGTGAAAATTATTATCTGGATCTTGTTAAGGCTACCAGCTTTGTAAAAATTTAAGTAGACGTCTGTGTGTGTAAGAAGTAGATGTGTGAAAATATCCATGCAGGCCTGACAGAGCATAGAAAGATACAAATATTATATGTATTCAGGTATCAGCAATTAAGCTGACACATAAATGGTGGCTTTGGAGTGTCATTTGATCAATGAATGTAAGTCAGCAATTGCCACTACAGAATTCCTTTCAAATATGTATCATTGCAGAGTTCTTTCAGTTATCTGGCATGGAAAAAAAACTGTATTTCTTCTGGTAACTTCTGTTTCTGAAAACCTGGAAAATAATCTGCAAACTTGTGAAGTTCTGTGACTTCTGAATCATTCATTCTCTCACAAAATATTGGTATATTTACAGTACAAAAAAGGTTTAGTTTAAAAAGAGATCCAAGTGTTATGAAGGTGATCTAAGAAGGAATTGGAGAGTCGGGAAAGGGCCTCACAGAATGTGGATTTCTCCTGGATCAAAAGATGTTTTAACTTCGATGTTTCAGTAGATCATAGGATATGTAAAGCTTGTACTTAATTTTTCTTACACTTTGTAACAGAGTCTTCTAAATATTGTTGCATAAAGCTGTATGTGTATATTGGTCTGGCAAAATAGTTTGCCTCAGATCCTTTTCATTCCAATCCCTTTGTGGTTAGGATTGTTTAATATTGAAAATATCAAAAGCAGTGCTTCAAACCCTTTTTGTGAGTGGATTTAAGGTAAGCTTTAGTAAGCTGTTAACAACTACCTTCGATTTAATTTTGGAAAGCAGCAGTGTACGTACCTGATACCTAACATAAGTAACTCCGCTTTCTCCAAACCTCCACCACACCTATGTTTCTTACAAGTTAAGGAATAAAACTACACCTCAGAACCCGAGTGTCAAGACAAAATAGTTACCTTGAAAAAGTGTGATATAGTACCCACAGGTGTTTTTTTCACAGCTGCAAGGGCTTCTACAGGAATTTGTTTTACTAGTACGGTCCTCTTGATCTGAGCTGTTTGCTGTTTCTTCAGTTGCATGCTGGTTTTTCAAGTGCTTCTGGCAGCTAAACACTCTGCACTCAAATTCACAAACTGTGTTACTGCAGCAGGTACATTTCTTATTAGAAGAGACGAGTCGATAATGTTAAGCTGTCATTGTATATTGTAGTGAACTTTTATTTAGGACTGGGTCTAAGACAAAAATGCTTGTCCTACTCAATTTTGCGTTTTGGTGTTGGACATGCAAGAGAGATTTGCTGTTTTCTTAGGAGTAGTATACACTTTAGTTTAGCTGTCCAGGCTTAAATCAAAGGAGGCTGCAAAGGAGTGGGGACAATACCAAGGTTTCTTGAAAGGCACAATAGGCAAGACAGGCATTAGGGCATCTCTCCTGGTGCTAGAAATGTTACAGGCTGAATGTTTCAAGGGCAGAAAGCAGGATTTAAGGAAATGATCTGTCGCTTCTGCTGTTGGGAAGTATTTTTTTTTTCCACTCTCATTGCCAGTTTCTCGTTAACAGCTGTTTAACTAATGACAATTACCCTTCTTCCCAGGACTACCATGTTATTCTACTTCATGTTTCCAGCGGGGAGCAGAACTTCATTTATGATCTTGACACAGTGTTGCCATTTCCATGTCCTTTTGACCTGTACAGTGTGGAGGCCTTTAGGTTGGATGACAGCCTTCATCCAGAATTTCACAGGTGATGACATAAAATATAAAGACCATGAATGTTTTTTAATGAAATCAAAGTTGAAGTTCTCTTTGTGGATGTGTAGTGACAGAGGCTTTTTGCTGTACTCCAGTCAAATAAATGCATTGTGTTGTTTTGTTAAAGCTCTTTACCTTTGTCAGCAAAAGCCCTTTTCTTTCCTACTGTGGTTTCTTCTTAACTACTTAACTGCTTGGCACAATATTGCTGATTTAGCTGTTTAATTAAATTAATGCTTCTTGGTTGGAGGAGAGGGCTCTTGTTCTGAGGGACAAATGTAATATTGTATACATGCAAGTTTTGATACATTTTTGCATTATTATTTAGGAAAATCAGAATGATTCGAGCAGATTTGTATTTGAAGACTTTTGCTTCAGACAGATCTCATATGAAAGATGCAAATGGGAAATGGCAGAAACCTCCTCCTGCATACCCTTGCATTGAAACTGCAGGTAAGCTGCCAGCACTCCTTTCTCCTGCTTACAATGTGGAATGACAGTCCAAGATGCACACAAGAAATAAATACGATTCCATAACATGTGTCTGGAGGCACATCCAGCTAGCTTATTATTTTGTATGGGGAAAAAAAAATTAGGGCTATGAAGCATTTGGCACTTCCTTTTCTGAACATGTGAAGTCTAGCATGCCTCCTGGCATTTACTAGTATCAAACATTAATTACTGATCTTCATAAACTGAGCACAGAATGAGAGGTAATTAGTACTCTTCTCTCATTAGAGCAGGGAACTGAAGCAAAGAGGCCAAATAATTTGCTTAGGGTCACAGAGAAAATTTTTAACACACTGAGTATACTACAATTTAGGGGGCAGGTCCCGTCCTGCCAGAGTAGGTTATTTGGACAGGAGTAAGTTTTCAGGCTCTGCTCAGCGTGCACGAGATGTTTGAGGTTTCTTTAGCAGGTGAATGGACCTGAGGACTCTTTAAGACAAACGGTCAAGTCAGCAAATTTTTCCCTGAGCTGTAAGACTCTTTAAGTGATTGTCTAGATAATAGCCTCTGGGCCAAGCAGAGAAGTAAAGACTTGCCATCTCTTCTGTTTTGTAGAGCTGCTTAAGCCATTCTTACCACACAGCGTTTCAGCTTATTCTAATCATGTGCTTGGCAAGCTGGCTAACATTCGCCATGTGTTTGTTTGTTCTCTCGTTTTCTTCCCAGATGGAGGAAAGTATGGTGAAGTTTTGCTTTGAAAGGATTTACATGTTATTGCTCTGCATGTTTGGTTTTGTTACTTTTTTAATAATGCAGTTATTGTGGTTTAAAGTTGCTGGGAAGTTAATTCTGAATCTTTCCTTTGGCTTCTAAGGAAGCTTGGTGTTCCACACTAGAGTAGAAATGAATTATGAATGTGGGCAGGAGCACAGATGTAGTCTTTGTTGTGAAGGTTTAGGCGTTCTCTAGACAATCCAGGTTTTGAAACACTTTGAATTCCATGTCTTGGTCTTTATCTCCAGTAAAGTTTTATACAAAGGTAGTGTAGCGAGTGGAGGATGCTTGAAGTGCAATTCACGGTTCGCTGTTAGCTGGACCCTCCTAGGTGCCGAGGATGTTTTGCCTGCAGAAACCTTATTGTTGTGGTAGTTGAGAGCTAATGAAAGTGTGAGGAATATAGATCAGGCCAGACCAGGAAGGTGAAAAAATCCTGCTCAGATCAAAGGAGTAGAAAACATTACTTGTAGATAGTAAGTTACAGAATGACTCAAACAGTTGCAGATGTGTACATCTACCTCCAGCTATAGTGAATGACTCCACGGCTGCAAACCCTGTACCTCTCCCCTTTTCTGTCCGGTTGGCTAACCTTCACCTCAGTGATGAGCAGCAGTCATATTGTCTCAACCAGCCTCCAGATTTTCTCTGTGGTGTTGGTAGATAGTGAAAGACGCGTATATCTTCATTCTTTTTACGGTTTATTTCTTTGCTCTGTACCTTGCCATGCTAAAAGGAACATCCATAGGTCCTCCAGTCCAACACCTGCTCCAAACGGGTTCGTTGGGCTCTGTCCAGTCTAGTCTTGAACACCTTGAGGGATGGACATTCCACACCTCTCTGAGCAATCTGTCCAATATTTGACAACTGTCATGGTACAGAAAAAAAAAATCCTAGTGTGTAATCAGAATTTTCCATTTTCCAACTTGCATTTTTTTTCTTTTTGTCCTGTTACCTTCTGCTCCTCCAAAAAGGCTCTGGCTCCATCTTCTTTGTGTCCTCTGAACAGGTAGATGTAGAAAGCAGCAAGGGCTCCCCTTCATCTCTTCTGTTTAAGACTGAACAGCCCCAGTTCTCTTGGCCTCTCCTTGAATATCATGTTCTCCTGCCCCGAACAACTTGATGTTCCTGCTCTGGGCTCACTCTAGTATGTCAGTCTTTTGGGTTTGTTTGGGTTTTTTTCTACTGAGGAGGCCCAAACTGGACACAGTATTCCAGCTCTGTGCTGCTGCACTCTGGTCTCCTGGTCAGTTGGCTGAATGTTGCGGATGAAGGAAACTGGTTACTCTGTACCCACTGAAGGTGAAGGTCATTCACTAGGTAGCTTCAAGATCTGGGTCAAAACAGGAACAGATTGTATCAGATCTAGGATGTCTAGTTCAAGTTGTCTTTCATTTAGTAGCAGTTTCTCCAGCTTCATTTTTTGTCTCCCTGTTTTCACTTGAGATATGTTGTAACAATGCATTCTTCAATGTGCACAGTGCTGTAAGCCAGTGAGAAGTCTGGGTTTAACTGTTGTGGAACAAGCGGGTGCTTTAACTTTTAGCGGAATCTTAAGTCCTGTGCTTCAGTGATGTGGTTCTGTAGATGAGTATGTATCCCACAGGCCAACATACAGGTTTAGAAAACATTGCTGTCAACGGGTGGAACTGCTAATTCTTTTCCTTTAGAGACTAGTAGTGTCTCAGCACAGTTTTATCAGGCATAAAAGTGCCGTATTTTGAACTTGGAAAACTGGGTGGCAGACTTTCTGTTATCATAAAAGAGCCTGGGGCATTAATGTTCACGTCCATGCCAAATTCTATTGCAGATAACTGTTTTCTCCCTGACATTTCACTTAGATATAGTACTCTGCCTTCCATGTTAATTTGTGTTTGCGTAAGATTAAATTGCTTACACACTTTGTGTTAGAGGTGACTGTAATTTAATGGCTGACAGAATTGATCATATATTGTTTTAGTATGGATTTATTTGTAAGGCACATTTAGATCAGATTATTATCATAGAATCATAGAATGGTTTGGGCTGGAAAGGACCTTAAAGATCATCGAGTTCCCCCCTGCCATGGGCAGGGACACCTCCCACTAGCCCAGGTTGCTCAAAGCCTCATCCAGCCTGGCCTTGAACCCCTCCAGGGATGGGGCATCCACAGCTTCTCTGGGCAACCTGTTCCAGTGTCTCACCACCCTCACAGTGAAAAATTTCTTCCTAATGTCTAGTCTAAATCTACCCTCTTTCACCTTATAACCATTCCCCCGCGTCCTGTCACTACCCCCCCTGATAAAGAGTGCCTCCCCATCTCTCCTGTAGCCCCCTTCAGGTACTGGAAGGCTGCTATGAGTTCTCGGACCCTTCTCTTCTCCAGGCTGAACAACCCCAACTCTCTCAGCCTGTCCTCATATGGGAGGTGCTCCAGCCCCTGACCAGTTTCGTGGCTCTCTGGACTCTCTCCAACAGGTCCAGGTCTTTTTTATGTTGGGGGCCCCACATCTGAACACAGTACTCCAGGTGGGGTCTCACAAGAGCAGAGTAGAGGGGGAGAATCACCTCCTTCAACCTGCTGCTAATGCTTCTTTTCATGCAGCCCAGGACACAGTTGGCTTTCTGGGCTGCAAGCGCACACTGCCGGCTCATGTTGAGCTTCTCATCCACCAGTACCCCCAAGTCCTTCTCCTCAGGGCTGCTCTCAATCCATTTTCCACCCAGCCTGTCTTAGTGCTTGGGATTGCCTCAACCCACGTGCAGGACCTTACATTATTAATAGTAATTTTGCTGTCATCTAGAGTAGACCAATTCCTAAGCTCTTGTGAAGATGATTACAAAAGCATACAAGGTTTTTATATTACTTCTGTTTGCTATATGTCTTCTTTGACGTTAAACAAATGTTTGGAGGCTGAAAAAATACAATAAAAATGTATCAGTCATTTTTTTTAATGTATGAGTATTGTGCTGTTACAAAGAAATGTGCTCATGAACTTTTGATATTTAAAGATAATCAGCATTCCAGTACTATTGTGTTGATACCATTTGCTATGTGTTAAAGGATATTGGTTACATTTATATACACTGCTCTTGCTATCCCACTGGGTTTTAAAGCTTTTAGTAAACTTAAAAAGACAAGAATGCTTGCTCTTGATACTAAAATATTGCCTCTTCCAGAGCAGAGCAGCTGTTAAGCCCAAATACAGCACTTTGGAAAAAGAAATTCTGTAGTATCTAAGTCAGATGTAAGCTAAATAGGACCATAGGCAGGATAACATGATTGCCCAATGTGGAGTTAGGAGAGGATACTGGGAACAGAGATCTTTTTCACGAAGTATACCAGGAAATGTTTAATGACCGTGAAATTCCTTTTGGAATTGAATCAAGGAATCTCTATTAGTAACCAATTAATCATTTTTTTCCATCTACTAACTTAAAAGGAATAATTCCTAAACTTTTTTTTTGCTGCTCATGGGGTTGCAAAATAAACTTTCTAAAATAAGCTTATCTTCAGACAAAAACTCCAGTCCATGCTTAAAAGAAATGAAGCTGGAACTAGGTGGGGCTTTTTAAAAATAACCTTAGCATTGTTTTTTTTTTTTAAAAAAGAAACAACCCCAAACCCACCAACTAAACAAAAAAACCCCTCAAACTCCTCAATATCTCGTCAGAACTTGCACGCTAAACATGAGCCTTTTGCAACTGGCTCTGCTTTAGCTGTTCCCCAGAGCTCAGTCTCTGTGTATCTTATTGGCATTGCTCTGGCCTCTCTTCTGTTCTGCTGCTATGCATGCCAGGAGAAGCTGGTTAACGTAACTGGGTGCACGGTGCTTTCCCACCCAGCCCTATCCCCAAAGCAGCTCTGCTGGAGTATGCGTGCCTGAGCTGCAGCAGATTCCCCTGATCCCACCTGGTTGCCCATGGCTTCCTGTTGAAAGAAAATGGGTATTTTGTTCAAAGAATACAAATTATGAAGATAAAATTTCAGGCGCAGATTCATTATTCTAGGGCTGATGAGTCCAGCCTGGGGTTTTCTTTTAAGTCTTCTCACCACAAATCAATGAGGTCTGATTCTGCTTAGTTCACGAGTCCTGATGAGATCAGCCGTCCTTTACTGCAAGCCTGTATAAAATACAGCTTGCACAGTGCATTTCAGAATTACTTGGAACAGATGGTCATACTGCTTATATACAACTGTTAGCATCATCAGCTCTAACACTGAAAAGCATTGGTTTGAATTTTAGTTCTCCCTAGGTGCTTGGTAGCACACTGGCAGGAATGATTTGTAAAGGCTTTTTGTTATTTTTATTATTATTAAAATCCCTACTAGTCATAAATGATGGGGTTTTACTTGCTGGGGTTTTTTGTTGTTTTGAGGTGCATGAGTGGGTGAGTAGGACAGCTGAGAAATTCTGGAGGCACTGTGCATGACACATCTACATAACAGGCAAGCTGCTAGACAGAAGCAAGGCAGATGTCTGCAGTTTCTTTATCTCCTCTCTGAGGTGGCGCTAGGATGCTAGTGAAAGCAAAAAGAAAGCACTGGTAAAGATGTAAGTAGCTGATATGCACTTCATGGGACATTTCTGCTCCTCTCATTTGAGATAAAACTCCACTCTGTCAAGTTAGGTCCTTACTTCGTGAGCTTTTGTGGAAGAATCAAGTCAGGATAGAGGCAACAGAGGTACAACTGAGGATAGAAGTATTTAAATTCCATGAGTGGCTTATTGAAATTACACCACTTCCTGTGAAAGATAATTTAAGGTGATGAGCTTTGTTTTACACCAAGATGGACCAGGATGGATCTGGTGGTGAGGACAGCACCTTTCCAACTCTGCCTGCAAAAACACTTCTCTCCCTGCTCAGGCAAGGGAGAGGGAGCCAAAGAGAACTGTAGACACCTGCACAAGTCTGTGAAGAGCCCAGCTTTCTCAGTATTTTAGGTGGCCCCAAGGTCAGGCAGCAGCAGAACTGATCTTGGAGGCTTTATTTCAGACTTGCTCACTTCCAGCAGCCCTTTGGCAGCTGTCATTATGCAGAGTTAGTCCAAGGTCTGTAAGCCAAGCCAAGGCTTGGGTGAAACATTGCTTTCTAACTACTGTTGGCAGAAGCCACAAGTATCATGGCTAACAATGCCATCTGATAGTGCATAGTCTTTTATTTCATCCCTGCTTGGGGCAAAAGTGTCAGACTTGATTAAAAAAATAAAGTTATGCAAGAATCCCGGAATGCACCAGGTAGGTCTCATTGACAGTGTGTGTGTGTAACAAAGTGGGTTTGGTCCAAGAGGAAGCGTTGGCTCTGAGCATGCACAAATGCAACCTAGTATAATAGCCACAGCACCTGAGGAGGACTGCAAGTGTAATGTAAATATTAAAAAAAAAAAAATTCTGCTGTTCTTGACCTTGTATACACATTATATAAAGCATGTTTCTCCTTGCTTTTGTGGATAAATCCCCTTGGTTTGTCAACTGTAGCATCCAGATGCCTCTTTCATAAATTCTGCTGTTTGTCACTCCATCTGCTTTGGGAAGAGGCCTTTGTGGTGTTCTCATGCGTTTTTGCCGAGCTGTTTCCTAAAGCTGCAAGGTCTAACACAACATGCATGGCATTCAGATACAGCACATGAGTAAGACGAGTGGCATAGAGAGATTATCTCCTGAATTGAATAAAACAGGAGAGGTCTCACTATGTTTTTTCCTATGGGTAGCTTTCATACTCCTTCAGTGCCATCTACTGACTGGTTCTTAGACCATCCACTCTTCACTTCATAGAATCATAGAATCATTAAGGTTGGAAAAGACCTCAAGGATCATCAAGTCCAACCCAACACCACCTAACTCACTAAACCATGTCCATAAGCACCACATCTATATGTTTCTTGAACACCTTCAGGGATGGTGACTCAACCACCTCCCTGGGCAGCCTGTTCCAATGTCTGACCACTCTTTCAGTGAAGAAATTTTTCCTAATATCCAGCCTAAACCTTCCCTGGTGTAACTTGAGGCCATTTCCTCTTGTCCTGTCACTTGTTACTTTAGAGAAGAGGCCAGCACCCACCTCGCTACACCCTCCTTTCAGGTAGTTGTAGAGAGTGATCAGGTCTCCTCTCAGCCTCCTCTTCTCTAAACTAAACAACCCCAGCTCCCTCAGCCGCTCCTCATATGACCTGTGCTCCAGACCCTTCACCAGCTTTGTTGCCCTTCTCTGGACTTGCTCCAGCACCTCAATGTCCTTCTTGTGGTGAGGGGCCCAGAACTGAACACAGTATTCAAGGTGCAGCCTCACCAGTGCCGAGTCCAGGGGCACAATTTCTTCCCTAGTCCTGCTGGCCACACTATTGCTGATACAGGCCAGGATGCCATTCTTGTTTGCTTCGTTAAAACAATTTTTCCTTTCATGAAACTTCTCTGATGGACTGTGTTATGCTCTGCCACAATCCTTCTGAATTTAATAGAATATTTCACTTCCTACAGACACTGTGACAGCAGCTTCCCAGTTTCTAACAGGAGCAGCTATGTTTGTAACTCTACTGGAACAATCCCCTTTGGGCTTCTTCACCATTCACAGAACAGTTTTATGAAATTGTTATTCTACTATGCTCAGTGCACATAATGAAGGGAATAATTTATCTTTCTGTATGAAGAATCACATTAATTTTAAAACAGAAACATCTGGGAGGAAAAGACAAGTTGGGAATTGGAAAACAGGCTTACCAGTCTACCAGCAAGCAAGGGATGTTATCCACAACTAATTGTTCTTCAGCTACAACAGCAAGTTGCTGGGCTTGTGCTGTTTTAAATCCCCACATAGTCAGGCAGAAATCGGCTATGTTCTGCCAGACTCAGTTCAGCAGCAGGAAGATGCTTGGCTGGGTGTAAGGATTTTCAATGTGCAAGGCCCAAACAGGTTAACAAGAAAAGAATTAGGGGCCAGACCTTGGAAGCAGTGAGAGCTGGGATTAGGCAAATCACAAAGCTGTGCCACAGTGTAGATGCGGTGCAAACAGAGGGCTTTGGGGGCTGGATTATGGCTGGGACTCATGGGTCTGGGATTCCCGAACATCGTCTTCCCTTCCTCGCTTCTACTGTCCATAGTGGTAAGCCTAATTACACAAGGTTTTTGCAGCTGAAGCAAATTCCATCCTATGGATTTTCTGATCCATTCATTAGAGCCTACTCTTGTTTGGTCCTTAATCCTTAAATGTGCACATGACTCATCCATGTTATAATAAATACTTAAATACAGCAGGAAAGCTATAACAGTAAATCCAATGGCTCTTACACTCTGTTCTTTAAACTCATTCTCTTCCAGTTTCCTTTTAATAGGCATTAAAAAAGATTATTTGCATGGATTGTCAGTGAGAACATAAAAACAACAAGCCCACAGATGTTTGTAGTCAGAGCTGAATAGGCTGAGGAATCGGAAAACTCTGTTCAGCATGGTTCTGAGTCAGCAAAGCTTGTACCAGGCCAGCTCCTGAAAACGGATGTGTAAGGCACCTAAGCCCAAAACTGCACACCAGCACTTTCCACTGAGCTCTCAGGGATCCACTAATGGGACAGGATGGTTTCTGCCTCTCCTGAGGAGGTCAGAGCAGATCAAACTCCTGGCAAAGAGCAGTCATGGCTGCTTTGCTCTTGAAACTACGGCAGTTAATCTTTCCCTCCTCTGGCTTCATTCAGTGGTTCAGGATTCAAAAAAAACCTATTTACCCCCAGCCTAGCTTTGTGTCCTTCTTTGCCTAAGCATCCCTCTAGGCTCTGGGCTGGGTTACATCAGACATTTCCTCCAGTCTGCGTATTCTGGCCTTGTGTGGGCTGGTGTACAGCAAGGACAAAGTTCAGGGCTGGAGGGAAAGCAAATACAGAGCAAATACTGTAGTCTGGGGAGTAACAAGCTGTAGGTTTGCTAAGGGGCTAATCACTTCTGAGAGACGCTAAGCAGCTTCCAGTTCTGACTGCTGCTCTGATCCAGTTCCGCTGTAGTCAGTGCAAAAGCTGACTCAGTTAACTTTGGTTCAGAACTTAATGGGGGAATAATATCTCCCCTGCCTTTGAGTACTCAGATTGTAGCTACTTCTTGTAGCAAGAAGGCTACAAGCACCTGTTGCATTGCAGTTCCCTGTGTTGGTTGTTATTTGCACTCCAGTTCTGACACTACTGGACCCTTCTCAGCCGCTGTTGCAGGGAAAAATCTTGCTCTTTCCTGCGCGTACTAATTTCTAATGACTAAGGATGCTTACTGATCCAGTAATGTGATTATTGCCATAGGCAGAGAGAGGGATCAGGGGCAAAAGCACCATTTCAGAGACTGGAAATTGATGTTTTTGTAGCACTGTACAATTTGCAGAATTTTGTTGGACTGCTGCTCAGCGAGCGTGCTATGAATTCCTCACTCTTTCAACTGAACTATCAAAGAGGGGCTTTTGGCATTTTCTTTATAGATGTATACCTGTGCTACAGAAGCTGCATTGGTAACTTTAATATTTCCCTTTTCTGGTCCTTTTTTAGACTCCAAGATGAACTTGGATGATTTCATCAGTATGAATCCCAAAGTGGGATGGGGCACAGTGTTCCCTCTTTCGGACTTTGTGCATCGATTTGGCAGACAGGCTGATTACAGCTATTCCTTGGAAGGACAGTGAAGTGAACAAAGTTCTCTCTGCTTCTGTTTAAAGTGTGTTTTGTTTTGCTGCTCTTACATTGTATTTATGGTTTACATTTCTTCACGTGGAATAAGTATTTGGGCAAATAGAACACCCAATCAGAAATATCATGAACTGAATAAAAACTTTTATTTTGCTTATGTAAGAATGAACTTGTTTTTTAATATGTCAAATCAAAGGCAGAGATCCCACCGTAAGCATATTACTTTTCCATCTACTATGCCCAAATTAAAAAGAGCATTTACATGCTGTAAGAAAAGCTTTTGGAAAAATATATGCATAAAATACTGAACAATGTAGCTCAAATTGTTAAATGTTGCCACATTTTAGGAGTGAACACAGTATATTTTCTTTATGTTATGATTTCTATCACTTACAGAAACAGATGGTGCGTTTCGGTTTAGTCACTAACTTTATCGATTGGGCTTATTTAGCAGAAGCCTATTGACCAGGGGAACATAGATTTAGTAGTACAATCTTGAATTCCCAAGCACTATGTAAAACCAGGTAAGTATCTAGGTTTCTGTGCTGAATGAGGGGAGAATTAACTGTCTGCCATTTGAGTTAAACTGTTCTAGTGCTGACGGTTGATGGAAGATGCAGCCCCTTTTCCTTCTTATGCTGGCTGCACACTCTCACCTGCCCCCATGTGCTTGCACCTGGCATTTGTCTGGCCCCATTGTAGTCCAGGGTAGGAGGCTAAACCGACAGAAGGAAGTAAGGGGGTTTTTTTTGTGCCTCTTAGCTCCTTGAACTTGCTTGCCATGAGGTCAGACAGATGCTCTTGCCGGTGTAAGGAAATCAGCAGGGACATATGGTTGGGGGGAAGGGAATGAGTAATCCTCCCCCATACAGAGTTGCTTGCTGCTGAATTTCCTCAGAGGTAATATCAAGCTGCATCCTTGTAGGGGAACCCAGGAAAACCATCATGTTGATTGGGGTTTGGAGCAAAGTCTCTCACGTCTTAGAAGAGTGCCCTAAACATGGGGTTACAGAAATAGGCTCAGATGGGGTATTCAATTCTCTGGTTTTGTACCTGTTCTATAGTTTACATACTAGCATATAATGGAATCAGAGAGTAGTAGAATAATTCAGGTTAGAAGGGTCAGGTAGTCTCTAGTCCAATCTCCTGTTCAAATCAGGTCAGACCAGGTTCCTCGGGGCTTTATCCAGTCAGACCTTGGAAACCTGCTGGGACTGAGACTACAATAAATGTTTGTGATGAATTTCAGTCTTGGTGAGGAAAAGCACAGTAATGGTTTTAAGTATTAAGGGATCATTTTATTTATTTATTGTTTTGTTGCCAGATGCCGCACAGCTGGTTGGCTGTGCAGATAGGCAGCTGCCACACCGATTCCTTGGGTGCCAGCACGGACTGTGGGTAGGAGGCCAGTTGTTGGGGCACTCATCTGCAGAGTGAGAGAGTTGATCTTTAGTTTCTGTCTCTGTGAACCAGGTTCACCAGGAGAGATCAAGATGGTGGAACTTGGGATTCCTGATAGACTGGTGCTCAGAGCTCTCCCGAGGGGGCAGCTCTGGATTAACCAGGTACACCTGTGTAAAAGGCCTGATTTATCAGGGTTGGGGTGAAATGGCAGCTCTTCCTTCTCTAGGTGTGTTCTGTGTGAGGCTGATGTGGCAGGCATGCTTTGGGTGAGTGAAGATGTTACTTACTACTTTTGAGTGATGTCAAGATGGGCTGTGAATGTGCACAACGTCAGAAATTTGCCTGCTCAGCTCTATATAGATGCTAACAGGACCAGGGAAGGGATCATCCCCCTGTACTTAGCACTGGTGAGGCTGCACCTCAAATACTGTGTTCATTTTTTGGCCCCTCACTACAGGAAAGTCATTGAGGTGCTGGGAGTGTGTCCAAAGAAGAGCAACAAAGCTGGTGAAGGGTCTAGAGCACGAGTCTTATGAGGAGCAGCTGAGGGAACTGGGGTTGTTTAGCCTGGAGAAAAGGAGGCTCAAGGGAGACGTTATAGCTCTCTACAACTACCTGAAAAGAGGTTGTAGCGAGGTGGGTGTCAGTCTCTTTTTCCAAATAACAAATGATAGGACAAGAGGAAATGGCCTCAAGTTGCTCCAGGGGAGGTTTAGATTGGATATGAGGAAAAAATTCTTCACCAAAAGGGTTATCAAGCATTGGAACAGGCTGCCCAGGGAAGTGATTGAGTCACCATACCCGGAGGTATTTAAAAGACGTGGCCTGTAGGGACATGGTTTAGTGGAGGACTTGGCAGTGTTAGGTTTACAGTTGGACTCAATGATCTTAAGGGTCTTTTCCAACCCAAATGATTCTGTGATTTTTAACCCAGTGCCGCAGGCATTGCACACACTGCCCAGGTTAGACAATAGCAGAACTGAGAATTTAAAGATCCACGTTTTAGATGAATGGGTTACATTAAGCACTTTATCCTTCAAGTAAGTGATTGAATCTCATATATACAGAGTTCCTGTGCATTGCGCAACAGACCCTTTAAGCTGTTGCAGAACATTAGGTTCCCATCCCTCCATACTTGAGTATGTCTTTTGATTTAAACACTGAGCTGCCATCCTCAGCTGGTTTCTGGTGCCTGAAATCAGTGACACACTCCCTTTAGTGATGTTCAGACACAAGAATTTGCCTGGTTTAATCTAGTTTCAGGACCGAGGTTGTTAAGAAGGAGAACAGTCACAACCATTATTCAGAATATACAAGTTTTTAAAAAAAAACAAATGTGAAGAGACAGTCCTTTCTCTCTCTAATAATTCTGAACAGATGCTTAATTTTACCTGTAGCACACTGTGTGTATGTGACAATAGCCTTTCTATAACTCACAGTATTTTTGTAGATCTTGTAAAAAGTTGTCATTCCAGAAGGATGGGTAAAAGCCTGAGAACAATTTATTTCAGTGCTGAGGATGTTGCTAGTGTGGTGCTGTATATGTAGGCCTTCAAGCCTGGTGGCATTTCATCACCATTTCAGAAGGTGTGCTATCAGAAAGCCAGAATTCAGGAATGCACCAAATGCTCATTTAGGGTCTCAAATACAAGGGGAGCTACTTGCTTCACCATAGTTAGAAGAGACCAGCCCTTTTTCTAATGTTGATTAGCCCTGGTGTCCCATCAGAGGGACTAAGTGAATTTCATAGAATCATAGAATGGTTTGGGTTGGAAGGGACCTTAAAGATCATCTAGTTCCAACCCCCCTGCCATGGACAGGGACACCCTCCACTAGCCCAGGTTGCTCAAAGCCTCATCCAGCCTGGCCTTGAACCCCTCCAGGGATGGGGCATCCACAGCTTCTCTGGGCAACCTGTTCCAGTGTCTCACCACCCTCACAGGGAAAAATTTCTTCCTAATGTCTAGTCTAAATCTACCCTCTTTCACCTTATAGCCATTAGCCCTCGTCCTATCACTATTTCTTAGTGCAGCTTAGTTTTCCATTCCCTTTCAGCCTTTTTTACCTTGTCCCTTCCCACAGTGGAGTCTTTCTCTTGTCCAGTTATTACAGTATTTATGTGCTGAGAGCCCCTGGGCAGTGTCTTTTTGGACCCTGAGTCAGGCATCGAACAAAGTGAGGAGAAACCCCCCAGGCCTTAGGTAAGTTACAATCCTACGGTCTTCCAGCTTCTGTATTCAGTTGGTCACTGGAAATTTTCCAACACTTTTACTTCTAGACATCATAGGGCCTTATAATGGGGGTGCATCCTCTCATCACAGGTAGTTCCTCTTGCCTCCATCAGGCTATTGATGCAGTAAACTGCAGCATGAGATAAGACACCCTCATTTCTCCTGCCTTTTTCTCCTCTTCATTGCTGCTTTTTAGTTAAGAATATAGTTTATTTGATAAATAACCTCTTTTATTTGTCTGTTTATGACTTTAGAAAAAAATACTGTTTTTTTCTGGCATGTATTTTCTTGGTCAGCACATTTTCGCAAACTTATACATGACCAGGTCTGTCTTGAGAAAAGATAATTTCTCGGTTGGCCAGCAGAGAGAGCAGTCAGCATTCGGTGGATAGTGGGTTGGGACGCTTGGCCAGAGGCGCTCTCCTACACGCTCAGCCCTGCCAGTAGCTGTTACAGTTAAAACCCAGTAATTCTGACAGCAGTGCAGAGGTGATCTGTATCTTGCACGGTTGTGGCTAATGGGTTACTTACTGCCCTTGACTGCTTCAGTCTCTAATGTCAGTGCAAGTCTTTCCTGCACATCAAGGGCTATATACCAGCATCGTCAAACTTCCTACCAGTTTTGGGGGATCTGTTCAGCATTCACAATCCCTACCGAAATCACTGTGTGACACCTTAGAATATCAGACTGATTGCTTCGCTATCAATTTACGGACTTCAGAAGCTAAATTTAGGTACCTGGGATGCTGCAATCTGATCTGCACTATTAAGGAGGCAGGGAGGCACTGGGGTGCATTTGTATGAATCAGGTTCCAGGATGACAGCCCCAGTCGGGACATTTTGACCTTTGTGGCCTCTCCTCACCCCCTGATCCTCCAGCCAGAGCCTCGTGCATGCTCTGAAGCACTGTTGTTCTCCAAACATCTGCTGTAAAATGGCCATCTCTGGAGTCCGCTTTTCTTTTGTTAGAATGACTTTGGTCCAAACGTTCTCATTTTTTATAGTTTTTTCCCCTCTCCTTTTCAGCAAACAGGGGTTGTAGACTGAATGACCCAAGAAAGCCGTACCAGGGAATAGGCAGGAGGTGTAAAAACCCCACCACGTCCCTGCAGTAGTTGCAGATACCTCTCACTGGGTGCCTTGGAGAACCATTATCAAGACACTGTCCATGACCCAGGTGGTGGCTGTCCCCTGCGACTGGCACGAGCCACGCTGCTGGAGGGGAGGACCATGAGTTCACGCGTCACTGGGCTGTGCAGATGGCTCCAGGTTTGGTGGGGTTGCCCTCCTGTGATAGTTTGGATTTGCAGGCTTGGAGAATCTCATCTCCTCTCAAGCTGAAACCTGTCTGGACATCTGTCTCTCTTCAGGTAATTATCTACTCAGAAACTTGAGGGAGGGAATGCTGGTGATTTTCTTCTCCCTCCTGGCTTCCTCCTTATGCAGGAGTTGGCCCAGTTGAGGACAGGGTTAATGAAGCATACCTAGAGTGTCAGTGTCTGGAGACATCTGCTCAGGT